GCCTAGATCCCACTAGAGCAAAATAGTAATAAAACTGAGTTTTTTATAGATTGTTATTTTACTATTCAATATCCAGTAGAATCGGAAGAGCCCTCTCAATAACAGTTATTACAGATGTCATAGGTCTCATAGCAAAAAGGGAAATCTTTACTACAGTTTTTGCAGTTACTTAAAGGAAACTCGATAGGGAGTAATAATCAAATCAAAGTATTATGTAATTTTTTTCATTGTCTGTAATGTAGTTTTATCTGAAAATTTTTTTTTACTAGGAGGATTTGATATGACTGCTAAAGGCTGTCACTGTTGCATCTAGGTGATATGTCTTTTAGGAGGAGGAGAGCTTAAAATTGCTACTTTTGTAATGTCTGATTTTCTTAAATGGAAAATGGAAAAGTTATGTGCATGCCTTCATCTGTGTCCTAGACTTACTGTTTTGCAATACATGAATGGTTCATCATATTCATGTGCTTCTTTGTGTCTTGCTGGGTAATAGTAAAATTTTTATCTTTTATGGTATATTAGAGGTATCCTCTCCTGGAAGATAAGCCTGGCAGTATAGGAATTTTAGAGTTCACTTCAGGGAAATAGAGAATCTTGTTAAATGTGTTTGTATTGTGTTCATACTACTAATACATCACATTCCTTATATATTTACTTCCTAGAGTCCATTAAATATTACATTTTGTATAACCTGCAATTCTTTTAAAAAACACGATAACTTGTTTGTTAATCTGAATAGGAACATGTGTTATAAAGTAGAGCATGAGTGGAAAAGGTCAAACAAATAAAACTAAGCACCAGTATTTCTAGACATTATTCTCATAGTTCTGGGTGTAGCTTCAGAAAGAAGAGATAGTATTTTAATTTTGAAAATTGCTTTAATGTAGTTGGCACTGAGGCTGATATAGAATCCAAATTTAGGATCAATTAATCATAATCAAATCTATTAAAGTATTTCTGTCAATTATTCTGGGCAGTTGTTGGGCCCAGCAGGCCTGTAGTAAGCATTGTAAGGGACTTGGGTACAAGAATAGCTTTGGGTTGATAAAAATTTAAATATTATTTTAAAGTACTGTTTTCTATTATATATATTTAAAGTGTCTCAAGTTTGAAGCTGAGAGTATTGCACAGGCCAGTGTGTGAGGGAGGAAAATCATTGAAATATATAGTGTGTATCTCTGCTCTCTTTATTGGGTTTTATGCAATCCTGAATTAATGGAAGGGACGCATCTTCAGTGGATATAAATGAGCACTGATCAGGTCTGTGCTTATTTAAATTGATAAGGGATGCTGCTCCCTCTTTATGTGCAGGTAACATTGCGTGTTTACTATCAGTTTTATTTACCGAGGAGGTTTTATCTTAGAAGGGTGAATTGACAGCTTACATTCTTTGTTTTTTGTTCGTTTGTGTGTGTTAGTGGCCATTAATAATTAGAAATCATATTCTTCTTGGGGAGAAAAAAAAAGTGAAAGACGAAAAAACAATCATAATATGGCTTTAGTAACTTATAAACCTTGCAGCTCCATACAAAGAACTTGGAGAGATATAAATGAAAGAATGAGAAAATATTTGAGTGTGAACTTGTGAAATCTAACATTTTTGCTTTTCCCAATAAAGTATTGTAAACTTTTAAATATCTTGTAAATAGGAAAAGGTTAGAATGGTTTTCATAATTTATTTTTTGGTTTAAAATTTTTTAACCATTATTTTACACATTGTGACAGTTCTTTCAGCTAAACTGTATGACACTAAAATTTTTGAGTGGTTCTTTTTGCCTTCAGAGATTCAGATTAGAGATGGCTACTTTGCCATTGCCCCTCTGTTACCTGAAGATGATGAGAAAGTGATATGGATGATGTACACAGAGTTCTGTTTTCTGTCTTTACTTGTAGCTGGATTAATAAACAAGGGACAAAGCAGAAGTGGATTATCTCTACACTGTAATCTTTTTGATGTTTAAAGTTATACAGTAATATGTTTTTTTTTATATTAGTTCATTATTGAAAAGATAATTTATATTTACTATAAAATGGTAGGAAACAGCATGCAAAAATCATGCCATGTAAGTATTGAGAAAAATAATTAAAACAAACCCACTTTTTGGTGTATTATGGATGCCCATGTAAGTGGATTACAATTTTGTCTATTTTATATTTATAACTTAATTTATAATGTTGTCATAGCAATAAGCGAAGGATATTCTGTGCTAGATGCTTACTGACATATTCTTTCGTTGTTGATTAGAATCATCATTGTTTAGATAAACTCACTTAAAACTCAATTCTCAAGTTTTAAGCAGCAAGTCAGTTGTCAGGACTTATTTTGGTATGAAAACTTATGTATATGTTTCTCAGCAGGAGTTCTTATTCATAAGTATGCGTTATTCCTAGGATATTCTGCACTGGAAGTTATCTACATAGATGGTGCCATGAGTATAGATAAGGATTTTAATTCAAACACTTTTCCCTCAAATGTTGCCTTATCTCCAACTCAGTTGATGTACTTGTAGAGGGCAGTAACAAGCAAGCTGTGCTGGTTGCAGAGAAGAAGCTTTTCCTTAATTTTGAGGCTGGATGAAAGTGAGGAAGACAGCAATTCCAAGTCTGATGAGGTAACAGATGTAGAGACAAATCTGCAAAAAGAATACGTTATTTTAGTTTTATCCTAAATTGATGTAATTTATTGAAAATCCAAACGACCAGCTTAGGAGAATGTTCCCTCGCCCCCATCCTAGCTCCTTTTTTCTAACAACATAAGTATAGTAAATGTTTTTATTGCAGTATGCCAAAGCACGTTGAATGTTAAATGGCATGTACTTTTCCATTTAAAATCTTAATTATATCAAATGGTAAGAATTACTGTGCTTATTTCATATCATCCACAACCATCCTTCTGCAGGATTCTGTAATTGCTACTTTAACAGACTTTCCTTGTGTTCAGAGGATGTGTGTGCTGTCTGAAGATTTCTTATGGTAATGATTTTGTATCTTTTTACCTTACTGCTCTTCCCAAATTCTACCTTTAGGGAATGGGACTTACACAAGATAAGCCATTCTGGTTTTCCTGCTAATTTTGTGATCGATTGTCCTGTCACTATCTAAGTTGGGATATCAAGTTGGCAGATTACAAATATATTTCAATGTTGTGATTTTAAACTAGTGCAAGAGTTTATATGTGTTTCAATATGCTTTTTAAAGGTTTGTTTGTATTGTCTTGTACATGGCAATACAGTACTGTATCTCAGTATGGTGTCATACCATACATTTGTAGTAAAAACAAATTCACAAATGAATTATTCATACAGAGGGAGTGTATTTAGGGAGTACACATGTTTAAGATTAGAATATTTTCCTCAGTTTTGTCATGCTTGTTCGTTCAGTGCATAAAAAAAGCAGATATATGAGCAGTTATTAATAATTCCTTTTTATTTACCATGGTAGCTTCAAAACACAAATAAATGTTTTGGAATAATTTAATTATCCCTAATTTGCTTTCAATAGGGAGCTCTAAGAGCGCAGAATTTTTTAGTAAGTTTCATTCAGGCTGCCTAGCTTCCTCTTCCACCTCTCCCATCCCCTTCTGATAAAAGGGGCTTAAATGCTATGTTTCGTGTGATGTACCTTTCTGCTGCTCACATTAGGTTTCCCTAATTTATTCCCCTCAAACGTTCCAGTGAAAGTGGACTTTTCATCAGTTCCTAAATTTTTATTAGTATTTAATTATCCAGATTTGAGAGACGTTAAAGTTAATGACATCTCAGAAGAATCTTTGGAATGCTCTCATTTCTGGTTTAGGGTTAAGATACTCCCTCTAACCACTATTTTCTCTATTCTGGAGGCAAGGAGTCTTCTAGTATGGTGCCTTGAAACTCTGTATGAGTGTGTGGAGAGAATACCCTTTCTTTTTATGCTCATACTCCATTACAAATGAAGAATCATTTTCATGTTCTGCAAGAACTCTGCATTCTTCACAGTTTTCAAGACTTTTCATTATACATCTGCTTCCTCTTTTCCTTTTCAGGATCAGCTCTTACAAAAGTCTCATAAAAGGTGGAATGATTATTTAACCCATGGATCCACCAAAAGTGTAATTTCTCTAGAGATGAAAGGGGTTTTTGTTTTCCCTGCATTAATTTTTAATTTGTGACACAAATAGGAGATAACATAGAATTTTTGTACTTTAATAATTTCAATTTATTAATGTGTGGATTCAAGTTGAGATGATGAGCAAACCTCAGTACTATCCTCAGGGCTAATTTATGGCTCAAAGATTTCGAGATATGAGTTTCCATACTCCTGTGGTCACATGCCAAAGATTTCACAAATGGATGTTGGAGTTGCAGGTGTTGTTTTAGGTGACCAGCAGTTTAGAAGACCAGAGTTGTCATAAAAAACTATCATGATGGTACATTTAAGAAGCTCGAATCTTATTCTGAGTCCACAAAATACATTGAAATCATCTTTTGCCAATATGTAAGAAGACTTAACTTAAAAAGAGGAGTTTCAGTGCTGGAACTCTAGTCCTCTAAGAATATATGACCAGCATTCAAAACCAGAATGTATTTCATGCGTGAATATAAAAGTAGCCAGAACTTGAGTCTTGTGAAGGCACATCCCTTGATTAGGCTTTACTTGTGTGCCAGTCAGTCCAACAAATGGTCTGAATTAAGCTGCTGCAAATGCTGTTTTCACAAGTAGAGCCTAAGATTGGTCTTGTTAGTGAATGGAAGTCTTGTAAACAGCACAGTTTAACACCAGGCTGAATCTGTTTGCTGCAGATATGTTATGCACTATTTTTCTCCTATGGGATTGAGTTTTTAAAATCTTTGTTTATGTTAGTATGTTTAATTTCTTCTGGTTTTAAGAAAATGCTAAGAAGGCTTATCATCAAAACGATATGGACCAAAAATGAGAGAAGAGCTGAATTGTTAATGCACATAATTCATCAAATAACAATTGTATTTATAAATAATATAATTTCTTTATTTTCTATATCCTAGGATACCAGATGGTCCCATTGATCAGGGACCAGCTGCAGGAAAGGTACATGCTTTAGAGGAGCAACTATTAAAGGCCAAAGAACAGATAGAAAACTATAAGAAGCGGACAGGAGATGGTTGGTAGATAAGTTTTCTTTTACTTCTAAAATAAGTTTTTGTATTCCATATCACAAATGTATTGCTTTCTTAAGAAATAATAAAGCTAAAAGTGCTGATGCTTTTATGCCTTTTTTTTTTTTTTTTTTAAATAGGAGGCCTTGGAAAAGACCATGAAATATTGAGGAGGAGGATTGAAAATGGGGCTAAGGAACTTTGGTTTTTCCTCCAGAGTGAATTGAAGAAGTTGAAAAACTTAGAAGGAAGTGAACTGCAAAGACGCATTGATGAATTTCTGTCTGATTTGGGTCATCAGGAAAGGTACTTGTATTAGTTGATTCTGCATATATGTTGTAACGATTATGGATTGATTTAAGTAAACGGCTAATATACTGTTTAAAAAAATCTCATAGGGTAAATTAGTGGTATGTGGGCTAAATTATCATGTCTAAATCATGAGCATAACATTAGTACTTGTATTTCATGGGACGTGAAGTATATATCAGTTTATGTCACCACAGTCTAGAGCATGACCCTTTAACTTGATAATTTTTAATTTTTTTAATCAGAAGAACTGGGTCCTGGATGCCAGTTGTTGCTTTTCAGTTGTGCGTGCCTATATATGCGCATATTTGTACATATAAAAAAAAATTAAAAAACCTTAAAAATATTTGTTTTAGGTATCTGATTGACCCTTTCATAAATACTAGAATATAAGTTACATTGATCATTTGGATATTATATAATTGGAATGACTTTAAAATTGGGTAATATCTTAATTTCAGGAGTTATTGTCATTCCGAAAAGTCACTTCTATTGTAATTAGAATTTTAAGAGACTATTTCAGCTAGAAATGACCTTTAATTACACTGTCATTATTATGTTGATCAAAGTTGTGTTGGAATTATTTGCAATTGTTTATCTTCTGGCCTCCCTGTTATTGAAGTACCTTTTGTATTATACTAAAACATTCTGTATGAGTTTTGTTCATGCTGAACACAATTAATTCAGGAAGTGTTAAAAATTCAGTAAAATCTGTCTGTAAGCCAGTTACAAATATAACTTTGTTCCCAACAGGAATGCAATGGCAATTTGTGTCTCATTAGTAAACAGTCATAAGAAAATAGTTGAATTAACTAAACATACTACCTTAAACAAGTATGTCTTTCCCCAAAAAGCTGAGATCTGCATGTGTTAACATCAGTAGTAAAGCATGAGTCTTTGAAAATAATAGTGTAGTAGAAGGAAAAAAATAGTAAGAATTTTCAGTTCTTTGGAAACAATGTAAACACTTTAAAAAATAGTTTAAAAATAATATGAATTTGGTTATTACTGTGAGCAAATACTATAGTCCATTAACTTTTGTTATTTAATATTCCACAATTCCAAACCCCAGTTTGTCACAGAATGATGGAGTTTAAAGCGAGAAGGGACTATTGAATTATCAGGAGTTATTATCTATATAAAATAAACCATTACGTTTAATCCAATTATTTCTCTGCTGAGTGCAGTTATGTATGTTTGACTGAAATAAAATTAGTGCTTGGCTGAAGCAGAATTTTCCAAAAGACTTGAGATCTTCAGTTAAACAGTCAAGTAACAGAGAAGCTGCCACTTCCCTGGGCAGTTTGTTCCAGTAGTTACCTCTACTCAGAAATGCTTGTTCTCCAGAGAGGTTACTTCCATTTGGGTTCCTTGGACTCCAGGTTATTGATTCTTGATTTACCTTTTAAACTCTCTTGTCAAAACTGGAGCAAGTAGTCTTACTACCAGACTTACTGATGTCCATAATGGAAACAAAATCACTTGTGTACACATTACTGGTCTCTCTATATATCCAGGATCACATCAGGCAGTTGCCACAGTGGAACACTGAATGATGTCAGGAGGTTTTATGTTCCTGCCTCCCAGGATCAATCCTTTTTGTATTCCTTTCATTCCTACACCAGTGACTGTTAATTCATTAAGCCCAACTTGCAAGTTTCTGTGTTTCTGACACCTTATCTTCACATCTCTTTGTACTTAAAGGTGAGGTGAAACCCATACTAGAGATGCATATGCCTTTGCAGTGAATAATGAAATCCCGCCTTGTAGACATCTGGAAGTTAATAGATGAATCCCACTGTGGAATTTTGAAATCACTGTGGTACTGGAAGAAGTTTTTATATGATACAAGCAATCACAGCTGTTCTTTTCTTGATTTTTTTTAATTTGCCTAAGATTTTTTTTGTTGAATAAAAGTATTCTTTAGACTGACACAGTGGTTAGCAAAGGCAGAATGTCCTGGAGTCTGTTGAGTCTTAGTAGTAGATCTATGTAGACCTTCCCGTGTCATGCAGTCCCCAAAGAAGACTAAAGTACTTTAAGCTTAAACCAAACATCCAGAAAATAGGTTTTATTAAAATAAAATGTAGGTAATTTTTTTACAGCATGGAAATTCAAAGCAATTGTGTAAGAGAAAACAGATTAAAAAATGTTTCTACAATATTCAGCCTGTGTTTTTGGTGTATTTACAACATTGGCTTCAAGCAATAAATTATCTTGTGTTGCAGAATGCTCTTCTTTGTTGCCTTTAGTCCTGAGGAAGTTTGTTCTTTCACCTTTGAGAGCAGGCTGTCTGCTCCTTCCCTTAAATTTTTCTCTCATGCTGGATGAGTTGCAGGAAAACTCTGGCTCTTTGTGTGCAGATCCTCTGGCCCACGATACACTGCTGTCTCAGGGTGCTTCTTTCCCTTTGGATGCACAGTGGCTCCCTGGGGAAGGAGTGGTGTCCTTCCCTCCACAGAGTCCATCTGGTCTCTTCTGAAAGGAACATAACTTAAGTTTAGAATGAGCAAATCGGATACTCTCATTCATTCTGAGAACCACAGCTTTTTGGTGTTTTTTTTTTTTTGTGTGTGTGTGTGTGCTTTTTTTTTTATTTTTAAGTATATGGGCTCTCATTGATTTATTTTAGGGGATTCAACAAGTTGTCAAATGCCATTTTGTTGACAGTGATATCTTGAAAAATTGTTACCTACATGTTTTAGATAGATGCAACACTGCATGTAAAGCCAGTACTATTTAATTTATGTATATACATAAACATTTTTCTTACATATTTTTATATATATTATAATCTAATATTTGGACTAGAAAGTTTAGTGTTAATTATAAGTACTTAAAGCAGTTTGTTATGTCCTCCTTATATGGGAAAGCAGAGAAAGGGGTGGGTAGTGATCAAATGATGAGGTAGCTGTGTAAGAAAAGTGACTAATATTTATTTTTTTTGTTTCTGAGGAAAGCTTGTTATTTCATAAAGGCATGCTTTTTAAGAGATGATAAACTTAAAGACAGCTTCTGTGACTGGATAAGTAGTATTAGAGGTCTTTGTTAATCTTGGTGCTGTTATGCAAATGGTCTGCTACCAATAGGATAACACTTTTCTTGTTGGATGCCTTAATCACTATTTCTTGGCAGTGTCTTAGGGGTTGTATAGATTTTCTCCCAGAAACATCTTGACAGATGTTTTTGTCCAGTATTTCATTACTGATTCTGTTTAAGAAACAATGTACCCAATGTATAGTTTCCTGCATTATGGAATATGTAATTGTATTCTTGTGGTTGCCATAGGGAAGAGAGTCATTGAGAGTAACTTCATCTTAACAGTGAAAAGACTATTTGATATAGAGTTAACAGAAGAGAACAGATTAATCCTCTTGGTGGTTTCCTATGTTGGCGCTATGTTGCTTGCAAAGTGGCAGTTACTGAGTTAGTTTCATTCCTTTACCTCCCAGGGAACAGGAGAGCTTTTGTAGTAGCTGGCTAAGGTTTGGTGCATAGCATTTGGTCATATTTTTACATTATTTCCTTTGAATTTTGTGGAACATAGAAACATTTATTTTTCGTTGAGTTTTTATTTGTTGATGTAAAGTTCCTAGTGGTTTAAAAGTAATTTTGACATATGGCTGGAATAAATGTCTAGACTGATCTTTAAAAATGTGTTAAAAATCCCTCTTTATTAGTGACAATCAAATGCAGATGAAATACATAGCCAGCTTCTTTACTCCATTCTGCTTTCCAAGAACAAAATACTTTTAAGAGCAGCTCCAAGATTTAATTTATGATACGAAACAAAAATAACAATAACAAATTGATGTTGTTGGTTAGTAACACGATGAAAGACCAAGTTTGACTTATTAAGTATCTGCAGTGCCACTGTCTGAAATTCTTTCTGCCATTTTACCACCCACAATAGCCTCTAATCATCCTGTGCACGTTTGTTTTTTTTGTCTACACTTAGCTATCTTGGATCACTGGTCCATCTACTTTTTAGCTTTCCACATGGAGCCTGATGCTGGTCTTTGGTGTTAGTCTGTGTCTCTTCTAAATCTGTATTAATAAGCTGTCATGATGGTCTGACACACGCAAAAGAACCTAGCAGATGTAAACCTTAAAATGCACATTTCCCAGCAGTAGCAATCAAGGAAAGAAGGTCTCCATGACTGAAAATGTGTTAAAATTGCACTACCCCATAATAATTTCTCTGTGATAACACCTCTGAATTTTTCAGTTCATGGTTTACTTCACAGTTTTATAAGAGTAAATTTTTTTTAAAAAAAGATGGTGGGTACTAATATCTAAAAACTTGCATGAACTAATAAAATTTCCTACAAATTATTTGATATTCTTTATGGTTTGTACTGAGTAAAGCTGCCTTTTCCAAAAGTGGTGAGTCACAGAGGCTGTGTAAGGACTCTCTCATCATTCCTCTTACCTCAGAAATGATGGAAAATAATTGTATTTCATCTGTAAGGCAGATTATTTAAACTTACCTACTGCCTTTGCTTTGTCATGGTCACCGTGGCCAATAATATAAAAAATCAATTTTGAACAACACTTTTTTTTCCTTAGATATAAGAAAAGTTACTTAACTGCTGAGAGAGAAAATGCTGTGGTTTTTTTTTTTTTTTTTTTTTTTTTTTTTTATTGGTAGGCTTCATATTTCCTGTTATTTTATGCCAATATTTAATAGAAATATATTTCTATATAGTTAAAGGAGAGAGTATACTTGTTACTTACATCACAAGTACTGAAAAGACTTTTTTAAGACTAGTGAAAGAGAGCATTTGAAAATTGTTTAAAATGTGGCTGTTGTTGTGCAGCTGCTTTTAATGATAGTGGAAGATTTTATTTTTTTTAATATTTAGACCTGAAATTTACAGTTTTTCTTTAGACATCCAACATAGTTGCTTCCTGATGGGGAAGAAAAATATATTTAAATTGCCAAGGAAATGCACGGGTTTCCTTTTTTAATTTGCCTATTAGCTAGCAATGCTTTCTATAAATTGGAAAACACTGCTTTAAGAGGAGCAGACTCTTTCATCTGTTCAGCTTTTTGTATATAATCCATTGTGTTGAATCTACTACATCATTAATTCTGTTCTAATTGTCCCTAAACTATGTTTGCATGTTACTTTTGAGTATTGTGTCTTTAATATGTTACTGATTCAAAACTAGTTACCTGATGATACTTTAAATTGTTTATTTTTTGTACAAAGCCAGAGTAGGGTGTTTCAAACTCAGTTAACTTGTAAAAGAAAATCCAGTTTATGTAGATTAGAATGTAAATATGGTACTTCCAATTGATTGACAGAAGGTGAACATTGATGATGCTGGACAATTTGGGTGTAATATTTAATGCAGCAAAAGTAGATGACATAGTGTACATCAGTGTCACTTTTATCCTGTATAGAAGTATGAGCATGAAAATTGGAATGAAGGTATGAGAATGGAAAGATACAGATCTATAAATCCAGTTACCAGCAAGAGAAGGTTGTCTGACGACTCTGCTGATAAGGATAGCTCTGTCCCAGTTTGATTTCTCTCAATATTTACTGCTTAAACACTGTGTCACTGGAAGTAGGTACCTAATAGAGATACATTGCCTGCTCCTCTCCCACTTGCTAAACTTGCTTAACCTAACCAGGTGCGTGGCTCCAGTACTGCTGCCAACAGCAGTGTCTTGTATTCTTCCACTAACAAGACCACTTCAAAGGGGTTTTGGAAATATGCTTGTTTTCCCCTCACGTTCTTCTTTGTCACCTCCCAAATTTCTCTGCCTTTGTTCTGTTTCATCTCTTCCTAGTGATCAAACCTTTAGCTTATCAAAAATTTCAGGCAATAAATTGCAACATCTGATAGTTCAGATGAAAGAACTAAGAAAAGTGGTTCAAAATTAAAAACTTGAGCGTTGTTATGGAGAAATATTTAGCAACTTTAAATATTCTCAGGCTATAAAGCTAACTCTGAAATTACTGGTTCTGAATTAGGCTGCCTGTTACTTGTTGAATAGCCACTAATGTTTTCACAAATATTTTAAATAGCTTGCCTCTAGTTCTGTATTTCCTCTCAGAAGCCACAGATATAAAACCCCTTCTCCTGGGGTGGTACTGTTTGGGTTACTTTTCACAAAATTCTTGGCTAATCATAGCAAATAAATGTTATATACTATTTTTTGTCTCATGACAAGGAGTTCTTTTATTTGGCCACTGAAATATAATAACCCTAAGAGGAGGATTTCTAGTTAGATAACCACAATTTAATATTTGATAGTTCCTCAAAGTTCACGTTTTGTAGTCTAGACTTATAACATGACCATGAGTCTGTTTTGAATTTTTAATTTTAAGGTTTTCTCCATTTGAGTATTAGTAGCATGCAGTCATCCTAAGCAGGCAGAATGTTTACCTTCTTACAGAATCAGAAGGAGCTCCATGCCATAGAAAATACTGTTTACTAAACATTGTACTAATATTCTGTAGTTAGTTTTCACTAATGAAAATAGAAGGATTACTGTTGTACTTGTGCTAAGGAGATTTGTAATATTATGTTCTATACAAGTATAGTAAGATGCTTGTAGGAGGCAAAGTACCAATGTGTTATAATAGAAGCCACTGTAGGAATCACTATTGCACTTTAATCTGGGGCCACTGGCTGATGTATCTAGCATGGAACTATTCTTTATTTCCTTTAGGACATACTAGAAACAAATGCTTTATAGCAGGCCTAAGAGTTTTTCCATCCCATCTCCTGTTTAATACTGTATTTACTCATGACTATGGAACATACGTTCATGACTGAACATACATTCGGGACACAAGCATGGGGTGGGAGGTGGCATGAAGAAACTGTTTTTGAGGCTATAATTGAAATATCTGTTTAATTTGTCTTTGATTTTATCTAATGCTCCAATTTAGTAATGTTAAGATTGTTTCCTGTTTTTTAAAGATTGTTTTCTATTGTTGTTTACAGGTCAATAATGACCGACTTGTACTACCTCAGTCAAACAGATGGAGCAGGAGATTGGCGAGAAAAAGAGGCCAAAGATCTAACAGATTTGGTACAGAGGAGAATAACTTACCTACAGGTAAGAGGGTAGAGCTTTTAAATCAAGGTAAACATTTATTTATATATATACACACACACACACACACACACACACACAAATATATGTAGCACTTAGCTTTACCCTTATAATAAATAATTACATGAAAATTTTAAGTGAATGTTTGTATATGAATGAATTGCATACAAAAGAAATTAGAATGTTTGTTTCAAACATTATTTTAAATGTGTATGGAATGATAGCATTTCAAGAAAATTTTTTGTTGTTGTTGTTGGTTTTTTTTTTTTTTTGGATCTGTGGATTCACTGGGCCATACTTGTTTGAACTTTTTGTTTTGTTATAAAAGATGAGTCTCTGGTTTCCATTTTTGATTCTTTAGAGTATCAGAATGAATACATATGTTTGCACAGTGTTAAGAATAAAAATATGAAAGTCCTTGTATGAAAATTCTGAACAAGCAACTAATTTTTAAAAATATGAGTATGCAAAATTCAAGTGCTTGTACTGTCCAGTCCTAGACTGTTCCAACAGATGTTTGAGACTTTTCATAGATGCTCATATTTGTGAGTGCATAAAGCCTTTTTAGTGTATGTGCTTATGAGTGTCTATAAAATTTAAGCAAAACTCAATCTGAGGGTTTTGGGACTCATATTCATGTATGAATGCATGCAGCTATTTATATAGTGATCAAAAATATATTTGATGTAGTCTGTTTTATTTGTACTTGGTTTGTTTTTTCTTGCATGTGTGCACCTCACTGCTGTGTTTTGTGTGGTCACCCTTAATGGCTGATCTTTTCTCTGTGTAAATAGCTGAAATTCTTTCTCAGATTTTCATTATTTCACATATCACAGTTCAGCTAGTGGAACCTTCTCTTCTGTGACCAGGCTGTGTATTTGTTCCTTGTTAAATAAAAAAGACACGCTTCAATGGAAAAATCTCCCTGTAAATTATGCAGAAGATATCACTTTATTGTCTTCCTTCAACTCCTTGAGAACTGTTTCTCATTCTTTCATTTTTGATGTCACTTTTTGTCAATGTTGTACTGTAACTACTGTTCATGCTGATAAATATGGCCCTTCTCTACCTTTTTCTCTTCTTTTACTGTATCCATTTGTTGTCTTATCTAAGCATGAATACATTTCTGGAGGGTGATTGTTTTCCCGTTGTATGTTTTACAGTGTTCAGGGCCTTAGTTCAAGACTAGGACCTCCAACTATGTACAATGAATAACAAAAGTAAAAGGAGTTTAGGAGAACAGAAGTTCAAATTGAAGCATTAAGTAAATGCTTACATTGTTTTCTGGTGAATTTGAAATAAATTTACTTACTGAGCAAAGAGCTGGGAGTCCAATTAGCTCCTTCTAAAATGTACTGAGACACTTATAGTCTATGATTAGAGGTCTTTCCTTTCTCTCTAAAGGTAATTTATTCTCATTTTTTTTTTTTTTAAAAAAAAGTACAAACAATATAAAGAATTAAAATGGTGCCAAGTCACAACGCACATAATATCCTAATATTTTATATTTGTAGCACAACTAGTTAAAGCTTTTCAGAAAGTGTATTATATCCTCAGGCACTTCCAAGAAAGATAACTAACTTCATCCTCAGTATCTTGAGAAGGAAACCTGATGATGAGCATGAGCAGATGATTTGCAGAAAGTTGTGATGTTAGGTTCAGAATTAGAATTGGGTCTAACATACTTGGCTAAATTTCAGTTTTACAGGCCATTTTTGTTTCTCTTTTATTTATAAATTTGTTTAAACGGAATTAATAATAAAATTTCTTTCACAGGAGGAACTGAGTGTTTTTTCATATTTATGCATTTAAAATATGAAATTAATCATTATGGGTTTATCCCTTAACACTGAGAAACACATAGAAAATTATTATCTTTTCTTGGGTTTAACGAATGTGCAGCAACACATTAAAAATTATTTGGTCATGTTATGAACAAATAATATTGTCCTGATTGCCCTCTATGTCTTTTAGGTTAGTTGAAACATTTTAGCTGTATTGGATACCCAGTTTTTGTACTAAAATGTGAAATAGAAACATGTGATGAGCCTTCTTTTACTAAACTATTTTTTTTTTTCATATGCTTACTGTGCTTCTTTTTATTAATCTCGTTCCAGGCTAAACATACTTAAAATTTTCAATCATTCTACATGTGTGAAAATTTATAATACCTTTAATTTTTCTTCCTGGTGTCTTCCCTTGACACTAATTCTTCATTAGACTGTTAGAAGTGAGCATCCACTAGTTGACAAATGACAATAAACTATTGATTTATGGAATTAGCACGAAAACATGGATTTTTTTCTTATTTTGCCTTTTATGCAGTCAAAGGTATTACTTAGCTAATAATATATCTTGCTTGAGTTTGTGTCACTATGGAGCTATTGAAAATTATGCCCAAGATTTTTATTCCGCTGAATTTTAAAACTTGAGTATTTTTTCTTCCACTATACTTACTTTAAATTTAGTTATGAATACAAAATTTCACTTGTCACGGGTCATCCTTACTTTGGTTATTTTCTTCTGGGATTCATAACAAACTTCCCTCGACTTGACTAATTTAAAATTTCTTAGACATTAATTTAATGTTTTTGGCTTTTACCAGTTCTACCATGTTTCATGTGTGAAAGCACTGGTCCCACTAAGATAACTAGAGGCCCTTTCTCACTCCTTTTTATAACCTGGTCTTGATCTTTGATTGCACTTTGTCCCTTACGCCATGACTACTTTGTTTCTTTGAAGGTTGTTTGCTACAAGACCCCCCCCCCCAAAAAAAAATTCAGAAAAATTACAGTATAGCAGGAAACTGTGGATAGGATGGTTTAGTGCTGACGTTGATGGAGGATCATTTATCTCCAGGTTTCTACTATTACCATCATTCATATAAGAGATTCAAACCCCAAGGCATGGTAATTCTCAAAGCGTGCAATATTGCCCAAAGTTGGGGTGGAAACCTAGCCATCTCTTCAAAGATAGAAAATATTCTTTCTTCTAAGTAGTTACAGTCTATGAGATGGGTCATTCACATATACTATTACTGCTATCTCTCTTTTAATTTCTATTTTCATTCTTCTCTCTGAAAAAAATCCCGAAGATCCAATGTTTTGCCTACGTGCCTGTAAGCCAGACATAAGCTTTTGGAGCTGTTCTAAAGATTAAAATATCTTGTGTCTTGAATGCCCATTGGAAGTAATCATCCAAAACTGGAATATGTCTCTGATTACCTATTTGGAAGTCAAGTTGACTTATTTTCTAGTGTGGGGTTCAGGATTTTGAACAGTACAGGGCTGACTCCGAGTATGCAGTGTAAAGCAGTCCGGGGTCTGAAATTGCATGTATACACCTCTATTATAATGTAACTGTATAAAAAAATAAAATAAACCAAAACATTAAACAACCCTTACCCCCCAACTCCGTGCCAAGAATAACTGTGTAGAACTTTATTCTCCACCACAAAAAAAAAAAAAAAAAAAAAAGTATTGTATAGTTTTCTTTCTGATACATGTTGAACAGTGACAGCTGCATTATTTTGGGACATCTCCCTGGGAAATCATTTAGCTGAATGGTTATGAATAGTGATGACTGCTACTTCATTTGGATGGCATTACCATAAATTTGATTTAATGAGGCTACATTTAGCTAGTTCCCTGCAGTTAGAGGAACACTTAAAAAGCTAGGAGCTTACATTTAAGCCAAAGATCTTATTTTCAGAGATGTTCATTATCAAACAATTGAAGAGAATGTGCAAGAGAAGTTGGACAAGGGCTCCTATAGTACTGTATATTCTGGAAGTGGTAGAGTGAGGAGATGATTATGAAGGCAGCACTTTGTTCTCTTCCCCTTTCTTTTTGTGCTTAATTTTGTTCTGTTCCGTTTAGGAAGTTTGTGATTCAGCATGCAGTCTCCCTATAACAGAATATTTTTGCCTCCAATTTTTAAAAAAAAGTCAAAACATTTTGTGCAACTTTGAAAGTTAAAAATATAAGCAGGTGAGAAAGGTTACTAAGTATGCAACAACATCATCAGTTATAATAATCATAGTTTGCTGTATTCATGCTATGTAGTTGGGGTTGTGTATGTATGCAAAGAAAAGAAAGTTGCTTACAAGTCTTTATTCTGAGGTTTCTGGATTTCCCAGTATTTTTGGTGATTTAATATGTCACTAAATTTTTCTGTCTTAAAGTATATTAAACCCTTTCTCTTTTCTTCCCATTCAAATGCATGTTATATATTTTTAATAAAAGTACTCATCCTAAAATTACAACATCAGCACAGAAGCTCAGGGCAATCTGCATATGTGCAAAGGGATGTATCCTTCACAGCTGTAATCTTGGAAAGGTTAAACTTGTGTCCTTCAATAATTCAAGTTTAATGTATTATAACTTTTTGCAGTTATTCTACTTTGCTCATAACAAACAAATTGTAATATGTTGTGGCAGTTGTAATGTGATGTTGGTGTTGATAAATTCAATCTAATTTGAAACAAAAGGCAAAAGTAAATTCCAAAGTGGAAAAAAGTCTCATAGAAAATTCTCCATCAGCATTGATTTTTTTTTTTTTTTTTTTTTTTTTGTTATGGGGAAGGACATTAGCTAAAGGACTTCAGCTGTGTGGCTGTATGGGCACTGTTCTGGGAGAGGAGATGATTTCTTTAATGGGCAGACCTTTAAGCACTTTTTTCATGTGGTAGACTCAGCATCCTTAGTTTTATTTGAAAATTTTCTGTTATTTACTCCAAATACATATAATCATGATAATTCACTTACTCAAGGAAAAAAATGTCATGAATTCTAGTTCTAGTTTCTGAACAGATTTAAGAAGCAGACCTAGGAGTAGGGTTGGACTAGATGACTTATAAAAGTCCCTTCCAACCCAAACTATTATGTGATTCTATGAATAGCATACTTTAATAGTCTTATTTTGAAATTATAAAAGCAAGACTTGATACTGGTAAGACAAATGATTGAAAAAGGCCATATCCTTAGGCTTAACTGAGATGCGTT